GAAGATGGCATTTCCACTATCATACCCAGGTGTAAGATAATTGCTCCAATTCAGTGGGACATGGAGAGCATGGTAAGAAAGGCCCAAGACCAAGAACCTGATCCTGGAGGAGGACCAAATAATCGTCTGTTTGTCCCTAAAGCTGTCAGAGCTAAGATCCTTCAGTGGGGGCATTCCTCGCAACTTACCTGTCACCCTGGGTCTTTTCGCACTCTCGAGTTCCTCCTGAGACGATTTTGGTGGCCCACTATCAAAACTGATGTTGGTACTTTCATTAAAGCTTGTCCTACCTGCAACCAGAGTAAGGTCCCTCACAGTTCTCCACAGGGACACCTACACCCACTTCACATCCCTCACAGACCATGGTCACACATCTCGATGGATTTCATCACTGGACTCCCCTTATCTCAGAGAAACACTACCATCTTAGTCATTGTAGACAGATTTTCCAAGGCAGCACGATTCATTCCCCTTCCCAAACTACCCTCTGCTAAAGAGACTGCTAAAATTGTCATGAATTATGTATTCCGGGTCTTTGGTGTTCCACAAGACATTGTCTCAGATCGAGGACCCCAATTCTCTTCCCGATTCTGGCGAGCCTTCTGTCAATCCCTGGGTGCTACTGTGAGTCTGTCTTCAGGTTTCCACCCTGAATCTAATGGCCAAACAGAGAGGCTCAATCAGGATCTGGAAACTACCTTAAGATGCATGGCAGCTAACAATCCTACTTCTTGGTCTCGCTTTATCATTTGGGCGGAATATGCTCACAACACGCTGTGTTCAACTGCAACTGGCATGTCCCCATTTGAATGCCAGTTCGGATACTCTCCTCCACTGTTCCCTGAGCAAGAGGTAGAAGTGGCTGTTCCCACAGCTTCCCAGTTTGTTAAACGTTGCCGTCAGACCTGGAGGAAGGCCCGCCTCAAGCTTCTCAAAGTCTCCCGTCAGTACCAACGTCAGGCCAACCGCAGACGCAGACCGGCACCCATTTTGCGTCCTGGGCAAAGAGTCTGGCTCTCCACAAAAAACATCCCCCTTCGGTTGGAGTCAAGGAAACTCGCCCAGAAGTACATTGGTCCTTTCAAGATTGCCAGGAAAGTCAACCCTGTTACTTACCGTCTATACTTGCCCAAATCTTTAAAAATAAATCCCACTTTTCATGTGTCTCTGTTAAAACCTGTTTTTTCTTCTCCCTTTTCCGTGACAGACAAACCTCCTCCTCCTCCTCGTTACTTTGGGGGCCAGCCAGCCTACACAGTCCGCCGAATACTGGATGTCCGTCAAGTGCGTAGATCCCTGCAGTATCTCGTGGACTGGGAAGGCTATGGTCCAGAGGAGCGCTCCTGGGTTCGGGCCAGAGATATTTTGGACCCCAATCTGATTCGAGACTTTCACTCCGATAAATTAAGGTCTCCCAACAAGAACGTCAGGAGCCGTTCCTAGAGGAGGGGGTCCTGTCAGGATCTGTCTTTACATGACTTTATTTTTTACATGTTATGATTTTGTTTCTCCACTAGATGTCCCCATTTCTCCCCATGTGTTGTTTAAGTTCAGTAATTACGTGATTGGTTTCACTTGAGTCCTGTTAGGTCTTGTGTATTTAAGTTGACTAGTTCCCCTGTTTCTTTGCTCAGTTATTGTTGATGCTAACCCTTGATGATCGTAAGACTTCTTGCTTCTCTAAAGTCTAGTTTACTCAGAGTCTTGTGCTACATTGCCTATTTCTAGTTTTTTGGATATGTTTTGCTTGCTCTAGTTTTTTCCAGAGATATTTTGCCTGTTGGCCTTTTTGTTCCTCCGTTAACCAGTCTTTTTGTTATCTCTGACACTGGAGACCTGGGTTCGAACCCTGTGCCTGACAGGGTTTGACCAACATGTAAACAAGGCTCGCCAGTTAACTATCCAGGGAACCCTAGCAACCGCCCAGGAATCACTCAGAACACCCTAGCGAGCACCTAGCAATGCTTAGCAACTGTAGCATACAAGGAATCACGTTACTAGCATATGTCAGACGAGACAATGCTGTTCTGATGCTGAAGTAGAACAGTTTATAAGTGATTACTAGGTTAGTTTGGTGTTGCTAAGGATCTAATTGACAGCTTAGCGTGGTGATACACCGCAGCTTCTTGTGTGAATGCTGAAATCAAGCTGGATGTCTCTACGACAGTAAAAACTGGACTTGGACTAGTCATATCATAGAAAATATAATGCTTAGATTATTTATTTGATGACAGAAGGTGTGGCCAGTATTATATACAACAAAGACGGCTTTCTGTCAATTAGCTAACAGCATGACAGAATGTAGGTTTCTCGTGCCATCATAATGATTAAGTATCAGTGATGAAAGTAGTGCTAATGACTAGGGCTAGACAGAATCTCCTGACTTTTTGGAAAAAACTGCAGATTTATGTGGAATGATTTTATGAGTATCGGAACTAAACTTTGATAGATTAAATAACAGTGATATCTTTTTTACTTTTTAGTCTTACGATGGAAATCCAGTTATATCCACTTATTTGGTAAACAAGCAAGTTCATATAATATATCGACTAGAAAGGCAGAAAATAAAACTTTACAAACTATTGATTATGTAAACATTTTATATTATTCAATAATATTACTGAAGTTAATTTACTAACTAGATGAATATGAACATTACACACATTCAAAAGTAAATAAACAGAAACAGTGATGGGCTAAGAATTTCATGCGTGCAGATTCTGTGTGAGCATAATAATGACTAATCGAATAGCAAGTAGCTATCGGGATATTTAAATGCTGTAAAATATGACAGCATATAATAGCCCCTTTCACACATACAGACCTTTCCGGAAAATTGCCGGCAATTTTCCGGAAAGGTTGTATGTGTGAACAGGTCCTTTTTGAAAATACCGGTAAATTCGTTCTGGCTATTTTCCAGAAAGAGAAGTTGTAACATTACCGGCAATTTGCCGGAATGCTGCGCTGTGTGAATGCAAAAGGAAGATTCCCGTAATAAGCGTGTGCACATCTAGAACGTGCTGACGTGAGACGCCTGCTTTAGCCAATCAGAACAGTCAGACGCATTCACGTCCGCGCGGTTTATGAGAATAAAACCCTTCGAATATTTTTCCAGACACATTTAGCTGCTAGAAGTTAGTCAGATCACGTTTATATGTTCTTCTTAATGCCAACTGTGTAAATAATCATTGATGAGATGCTTATGATAAGCCGTTGTTTGTTTACCTTTAAGCTTTGCGTGTGCCTGTGAAACAGCCTGTGAGCGCCTGCACACGCACATATTATGAACATCTCGACATGCGAAAGTGATCCTGCGAAAGTTGTTCACAATATTGATCATCCACAGAGTTTGTAATTTAGTCAAATGTTTACAAATACAAGCGCAGCCGTTTAAAGCTCATTTGTGGTGAATGATGTCAGAATTTACCGGTATTTTGGAATGGATGTGTGAATGCTCTTTTCCGGAAAATTTCCGTAACGTCCTCGCCTGTGTGAACAGAGCTTTTTTGAATTTACCGGTAAAGTCGTTCCGGAAATTTTTCGGATATTTACCGGTATCACTGTGTGAAAGGGGCTAATGTCTAATGCTAATTTGTATTAGTTAAGAGTATACGTGCAAATGGGGCTTGCCATACGTAATGGATTTGGATTAATGTAAACATGGCTTGCCATATAGTCATTGTGTAGTTTAATTAGACTGATGCATAGTGTTTACTTAAAATGAAACATCAGTCAGTGAACTGGTTTGTAAAGAATTCAGATCTAATATGATGGTTTCTAATGGAAGGAGTTCGCCGGAAGCGCTGTAGGATGTCTAGATTAAAATCGGAGTGCATGGAATGAGGCTTTGGCATGAAGTAAATGTTTTAAGTCTGCCTAATCATATTAATGGCTTTCGTTTGTCCATATATGACTGCTTGACACTATAGCAAGTGCTGTCAGCTATGGGAATGGTCTACGTGCAGCGTATTGATCGTTGTTTGAATGTTTGGTCTGACTTGTAGGCCACGGATTGGTATTGGTGATTGGTATTAATGCGCGGGATCTTTACGTGGCATATAGGTGCGACAAAACAGGCTGAATAGCCCGAAGTTTTACGTGCCGCAAGCGGAGCATTATCGACCGCTGTATCAGGATGCATGGTGGAATACAGCTAATACTGGGCGCTGGAGGCTTGCACGCTCCGATGGGGGCTAGTCCCAGGCTTTGGGATAGCGGCGGCATTGCGTGAAGGCCAGCGGCCCTGTGTTTGAAGCCGCGGACTTGTTGGTCTGTTCTGCTGAGTGATAGTGCGCTGGATGTCGGGTAGAAGAAGCGATAGGAGCTGTGGAGTTTAAGGATGTTCTCCTTGGAGATTTCTGCTTGAAAGTTACAGCGATTGGCTATTCTTCAAGACGAAGATGACTAAAGGTAAGGTGTTTGGTTATTTATACTTGGTTAGGAGTAGTCTGATTGGTGGTTTGTACATTGGCTTGACTCGGGACCAGCCGTGTCAATCATAAGCATGTGATCCTCTCGAAATTAGTTTATGAATAAACTTCACTTAATTAACTTTTAAAAGCAAATTTTAATTTAAACGTTTTTTTTTTTTCCTGCAAGCACAGTTAATGTTTAGACTATTTAAAATGTTTAAAGTGACTGACAATAATACATATTCTTGATAATAGGAATTAATCTGCCTCATTTTTAAACTTTGCACAGCTGAAGCTGCTTAATTAGGCCTACGACGCTATATTTTAATACTGGTCATTATGGTGGTACTTGGAGAGACAATTTTTTTCTAAGGTGGTACTTGGTGAAAAAAGTTCGAGAACCACTGGTCTAGACTCTTTCCATGTAGTCACTTAATCATACACATGAGTCTTTTGTACTTGGACCCTATATTTTATTTATTTGTCAATTCATTTTGATCACTTTCCATATAATCTACCATCTGCTTAACCACAGTGTGTTAACACAACATGATACAAAACCTTTCTATTTCTGTGTCTCTACTGTAGGTGAGAGCTTCCCTCGTGATGAACATTTTCAGTGCTATAGCTGCGGGCATTTCCATTATTGAGCATTCACTGAATTTGGTTTTTGTATCCAGTGGCCCTTCCTGCAGTCTCCCTTATTCTTGGTCACAAGGTGACAGGGTATGTCATCAGATATTATATTGATATCATTTTAGTATTAGTGTTTTATGTTATAATTACAGTAAGATCACTGTGTGACCGGTGCACTTGTGAAAATCAAGCGTAATCTGCACTCATCTGTCCAATGCTGTCCAGAACTTGACAAGATATTACTGTTCATTTACACTGGATACGAATATTGAAATTAAAGGTGCCACAGAATGCACTGATACACTGTTTAAATTGTTCTCTGATATCTACAAGGTATGTGGCTTAGGTATGAACAAAATAAATATTTTTATAGGTCAATTTATAACCAAAGAATTTGGCCCTTGAATAGAAAAGTCTGACTTAATTGATTTGGAGGAGTCATGAATATTAATGAGCTCTGCTCTCAGCTCATTTCTCTGAAGCTCACACAGCATAATGTACTTTGACATTACTTCAGTTGTCAAAAAAAACTAGATAAGACTTCTTGTCAGAAGACAATTGTTTCGTGGCTGAAATAATATCAATCTCTGTTTAAACAGAGGAATTTCTGAAGTTTATTGGTTACCTTTCTCAGAAATTCACAGTAACAGGAGTGATATGACACCATGCATAAACATGCATTCAACAGCACTTTATGTTTGTTTGTTACCTCATTACAAATGCACATGTCAGATTTCACAATATACACATTAAGAGAGTGTTGAAGCTCAAGGTATGCCATTTCCATACTGAAAATGTATACTTGGGTATGTCCAGATTTTCACCCTATGGAATCTTTAAACAGCACTTTTAAACTCTGTTCAGTTTCATGTTTTATTTTAATCAGTATACCTAAAGGACTACAGATTCTTGACTTCTTTTTGTTGTTGTTGTTATCCTTTATGCTCATGTTGAATGTTCTCTCAGAGTCTCTTCTCAGGAATCAGAGGTGTGTTGCTGGCGTTCGCCGTCCTTGAGCTCTTAATCTCCATCTTTCTATCTGCGTTTGGGTGTAAAGTCACCTGCTGCTATTATCCTCAGGTGAGAAATACATCAGCTGAACCCATCAGATAAATGTAGGAGCAAAGGCTACTTTTAAAGCTTGAGGTTCTGAGGTTTCACAAGAACCAGCAAACGCAATATTTGGGTAACACTTTATAATAACCACACACTATAAATCATTTATTAAGCATTAACAAATAGGGAATTCAACATCTGTTAAGCGTTAACTCTACATTAATAAACGTTAGTAAGCAGTTTATAACTGCAGCTACAAATGCTCTATTCTTGACTTACAAACATATTTAAAATGTGTTTAATAATTTATTTTTCATTACTAAATGAAGTATCGTATTATTTACAAACCATTTGTATTTTAGAGTAGTTGAGGGTTTTTAGGGTCATTCAGAATGAGTTAGTAAATGATTAGTAAACTATTGAAATCAACGTGTATATGTCTTATTATTCAGGCATATATTAATGGTTACTATACATGTTAATAAATGTTTTATTAACTCAACTTCATCTAGTTTTGTGACCTAATCTAAAGTGAGGACTATTCATGCTTTATAAATCCCTTATAAATGACAAATAAAGGCTCAGTTTAACTCTAAACAGGAAAAATGACATAAACTACATTATTCAAATGAAACTGTACTTCCAATGAAAAATAAATCTGCAACCTTATATCTACTTTAAACATTGCATCTTATTATATTGTTAAATTATTATATTGTTGTTGTTTTATCCAGCTTTATGTCGTATTTTGACACTCCTGTTATTTGGCAATGTTTAAACTTTACAGTAATTTTACTTTTTAGATAAGATTGCAAAGATTATTGTTCATTTGATACTGAGCCTTTAAATGTCATGTATAAGGGATTTATAAAGCATGAATAGTCCTCACTTTAGATTAGCTCACTAAACTGCATGAAGTTGAGTAATAAAGCATTTATTAACACATTAGTTAACTATTAGTATATGCCTGAATAATAAGACGTATAAATGTTGATTTCAATAGTTTACTAATCATTCTGAATGATCCTAAAAACCCTCAACTACTCTTAAATACAACTGGTTTGTAAATAATGCGATACTTAATTTAGTAATGAAAAATAAACCATTAACTAAGTATGAAAATACAATCATTAAACACATTATATAGGTGCTTATAAGTCAAGAATACAGCATTTGTAGCTGCAGTCATAAACTGCTTACTAACACTTATTAATGTAGAGTTAATGCTTAACAGATAATGAATTCACTAGATGCTAATGCTTAGTAAAGGATTTATAGTGTGTAGTTATTATAAAGTGTTACCGAATTTTATTTAAATATGATGACTTATTTAATAATTTCACTATTTTGATTAAAGATTACGAAGACAATTGTCTGTTGAGGCGACAGCAACCGATCTCCTGCACCATGTAGTTAATGATGTCGGAGCTGATTAGGTGACCAATCAGCCTGTGATGATGACAGAATTGTTCACTTCAAGACTAACAATGTGCGCTAGCAAAACATAGTAAATCTGGATTTCATTCAGACCAAACACAAACCAACTACATGTTTTTCTTTTGTTTAATCTATTAAATTTCTGGTCTGTATTCACAGACAATCCACATTGCAGCAATTTGTGAATTAAGTTTTATGAAGTAAAAATCCACAAACCTTTAATGTGTGCTGTAAACGTGTGAGGAACTGGGTTATGGGGCAATAATTGTTCAACAACAACCAATAACTTAATCTGACCATGTACATTTTATCCTGCAGATTCCTGTGGACAGCAACCTTTTAATTCAATGTCCTCAAGAAATCCCAGAACCATGCTTTCAACATCCTCCTGCAGAAGCTCCCCCAGCGTACACTGAAGCAAATAAATGTGAATCAACATGAAAAAACTGGGCAGAGCGGTGGATCTGCTGCTTTGATGCTGTGGCGATTCTAGTTTCCTTGTGTATCTGATCTGAATAATGCACATCATCAGATTGTGTAAAATGATTATTATAGTCATCCTCATATATAACACTTTTTATTTTACATTTTTATGTATTTTGCTATTACCTATGTGTATTTTTAAATGTTATTTGTTTGTATATACTGATAAATTAGATTTGTATTATGACTAGCATTGCCTGTGTCTTTCTCTGACTCAATGCGAGTAACTGCAGGGAAGCAGATTTAGGTTTAGCTGGTGATCACACCGGTGTGATTGCATGAGTCAAAGGGTTAAATGTGTTTTTAACATTTTTTTAATTCTATGATTTCTCTTCATACCACTAGCAGGTACCTGCCTTTATATATAAATGATCACAATAAGCCATTAAAGATAAACAATATTATGGATAAATAGAATATTATACACTTTATTAAAGTATTTTTATGTCAAATAGCTGTAAATATTATATATATATATATATATATATATATATATATATATATATATATATATATATATATATATATATATAGTATTTACAACTATTTGTTAATGAATGCAGTATTAACAATAGTGAACTGATAAAGTGTCATTAGTTAGTAGTTGACATTAGTTTTTTAAACTAATAAACTGGTGTATTGTAGTATAATATCGTATATTACAACATTGGTTCATCTGTTTATGTTATTATAGGTGCTGTTTTGCTATAGCAATTATAGAATTACCTCAACAGATCAATTTGATTACTATAGTATTATAGTCTGTTTAAAAGACTCTAAAATAGTTACTGTAAATTACTCTAGTACTTTTTCATGTGCGTTGTGATTGAATGAGGCTCCCGCTTTGCCCTCCTTCCTCCCCCAGAGGGAGCCATCGCAAGATTTTTATCAGCCACTATTTGAACCTACATATCCCATTAGGCCACACATACACACACCTGTCATTAAACATGATTACAGACGCTACTTACTGTACTCAAATGGCTTCCACTGTCACCGGATCTCAATCCAATAGAGCACCTTAGGAATGTTGTGGAATGGGAGATGGGCATCATGGATGCAGCAACTGCGTGATGTTATCATGTCAATATGGAGTAAAATCTCTGAGGAATATTTCCAGTACCTTGTTGAATCTACGCCACGAAGAATTAAGGCAGTTCTGATGGCAAAAGTAGGTATAACTCAGTACTAGTGAGGTGTACCTAATAAAGTGTGTGTATATGTACACTGTAAGAAAAAAAAATCGTAAAAAAAAGGTCAAATGCCAAACAAAAACCATAAAATTAAGGTAAAATGTCTTTGTTGAAATAAAGTGCAAAAAATAATAAAGCTACAGATATTTTCATTAAAATGATTACAGAAAAACAGTTATTTTACAGACTTTTCCTAGATTATTACGATCAAATCCGTTCAATAAAGGTATACACTAAGAGTTTTACAAAGAAACACTGTTATTATACAGACTTCTCCTAGATTATTATGATCAAACATCATCAATAAAGTGACTACACTAAAAGGTCAAGAGAAAACAATGTTATTTAAAAGAATTTTCCCTAAATCATTACGTTAAACACCTTTAATAACATGCCAAGACATGCTCATTATCGTAATTTAACAGTTTTATTTTGGATCAAAAAATTTTGACAAAAACAACAAACAAGATACAACTGATTGCAATTCTCACAACTTTAAAATTACTGTTGTTACATTTCATTGAATAGTGTTTATGTAAATCATGTAGAGGTTTAAGTTATATGGAATGGTTCAGTAACAGATATTAAATGAAATGGAACTGTAACATGAAGGGGACGCTGACAAATGAGTGCAGATCCAAAGGCAAGCAACAGTCAACACAGGGGCAAACAGATGTAACATTTTGCAGGGAATCCAGAGTCATGGTCAAATAACAGGCAAATGGTCAGTCCCGGCAGCAAACAACGTAAACAATTAACAAACAAAGCAAGGCAAGGCAAAAAAAGAGAAACACTTCATAATGTTCACAGTAGCAGTATAACAAGACTAAGCAATTGGTGCGTGTGTCTGTGCTGCTTTTAAAGTGCATGTAATCAGTTCATAACGATCCTCCGACTGTGTGTGTGCAATCAGCGGAATCTGAAACAGGTGTATGTGAGCACTCTTAGTGTGTTACTTTATTAAATGGATTTTATAGTAATAATCTAGGAAAAGTCTGTAAAATAACAATGTTTCTCTGTAATCATTTTCATGAAAATATCTGTAGATTTATTATTTTTTGCACTTTATTTCAACAAAGAAATTTTACCATAATTTTATGTTTTTTGTTTGGCAGCCATAGCTGCCAGTCATTTGACCTTTTTTTTATGATTTTTTTTTTTTTTACAGAGCAAGTAATTACAATTTATTACTTTAATTTTACGTAATATCAAATGTACTTAAAAAAAAACAGGAAAAAACACTGTAAATAATATGTCAATTTTTTTGTAAAAAACAGATAAATTGCTGTAATTTGTCATTACTTATATAGTACATAAATAACAGTCAAGCCGTTAATTTACTGATAATGTTTGTAATTTTAAGAACTTTTAAATATTATTTAAAATAGCAGAAAAAATACTGTATAAATAGTACTGTAATTTCCCTGTATAAAAAACACAAATGTCAGTAATTTGTCTTTAATAATAAAGTACCTAAAATGAAAGTCAAACGATTAATTTAGAGAGATTGTTTGTCATTTTACTAAGTTTTGAATATAATGTGAACTGACAAAAAATTACTGTAAAAAGTTTAAGGATATTTTCTCTAAAATTAAGTTTTTTTTTTTTACAGTGTAGTTTAATTTATTTGTCAGTTTTGTTTTGATACACTAGTGTTTAAAATGTAAGTGTTTTGTTTCAAACTAAATCTAAAAGGTCCTTTTTAACTCCAATTTAAAGGATTGGAGGTTAATTTCTATTATATATGCATTTAAATAATATTTTTAGTATTCAGTCATGTAATTAAATTACTTATTGAGTAACTAAGCTACCTTAAAAAAGTAACTGGAAACTAATTTAAATAAAACTTTAATGATTTTTAGAATTTTTCTGTAGTATCTTACCCAACACTGACTGTAAGAGACTTGGGTGGGAAATCATCAGGAACTCTTTAGTCACCATTTTCAAGAATTACAACCTTCACAAAAAATACAAAGTTTCTGTTCCCAAAACTTGGCTGCAGAGTTACTTTAGTCAAGATGAATATTCTGTCATCATTTACTCAATCTTCACTTGTTCACCAAATCTATATGGCTTTCGGTTTTCTGTTGAACACAAGAGGAGATATTCTGAAGAAAGCTGGAAACCGCTGACTTTCTCTGTAAGAAAAACAAATATGGAAGTCAGTGGTTTCTGTGTCCAACAGAAGTAGTAAACGCAAAGGTTTAAACCACTTGACGAAGTGTAAATGGAAATGTTTGGTATTTGAAAACACCACAAACACCTACAGCAGTTAACATACGCTACCCACAAAAATGAGGGATGTTCAGCTTTCAGCACTCACCTATAACCTTTACAGGTCCACTTAATTTGACATTCTCTACACTTCTGAATGCACATGTTCAACTGTTCAGTGTTTCGGTACCTTTTTGAATTCATCCCAAATCGTCTATTACTCACATAGGTACTGCTTTTTCACTTGGATTTAGCACACAACCGTTAGAAAAAGCATGCTCTATGTAGTATGAAAGTGAGCAGTGTGTCAAGAGGAGGAATTAAACCCAACACAAACACTGTGTAGTTGAAAGCAAAATCCCTGTCAACTGATTTATTTACAGATCCAGAAGGTTAGTAGTGTTCAGGAAGGCTTCTGGATGTTGTCTGAGGTGTGCAAAGTGCAGTCTGGTGAAGGTGAAGACGCCGATCTTAGCCACTTGAACCTGGAGAAAGAGCGAGAGAGACATTAGCATCTGGGTAAGTCTGGAGTTTGTCGCTCACTGAATCTTCGGTTGCTTCCGCCTACATCATCTCCCTCTAATCTTTTGCAGGTGCAAGTGATCGGCATTGATGAAGTGAGTCCAGGGCTGCGTCCGAAACTGCATACTTCCATACCCGGATGACTTACTACTTCCGGTGAGATTCTGGAGTGCGCATGATGCTCAGCGAGAGAATTTATGAATGGGAGTGAAGCAACGCAACTGACGCAGGTAGGTCACGTGACCATGACAAAACGGCGGATGTAGTACGTCCGATTTCCATTCGTACTTTTTACATTCATACTGTATAGAAGGCACTTTTCTTACTGCCGAGTAGTAAAAATGTTTTAGATAAAAGACTCACAAGACTGTAGATAAATAATTTAATAAAAACATTTAATAAATAAACTAATATGTGATCCAGACTCGGTCCTGGAGGGCAAAGTTTAGTTCCAACCCCAATCAGACACACCTGGGCTAGCTAATCAAGCTCTTACTAGGCAGTCTAGAAACATCCTTGCAGGTGTGTTGAAGCAAGTTGGAGCTGCACCGGACACCGGACACCGGCCCTCCAGAACCAAGTTCGGACAGCTACATCTACATGATCCCAGCCCAGTTTTATAGGTCCTCCACACATAATGCCGAGATCGAATCGATAATGGAACATCTCGACTCGCTTAATGGAAAAAAGCAGCACAGATGATGTGTAACATTACTGCAGAGCTGTTGCAAGGCAAACATTCGTGGTTCGTTACGATCTGTTTACATAACTATAGCAACTGCGGCGCCCAGGGCCGGCGGGTCCATAGAGGTGACCTAGGCGGCCGCCTAGGGCGACAGTATGGAGAGGGCGGCGTCCGCAACACCCCCCTTACCACCCGCGTCCTCAGTTATGTCCGCGACACCTCCCTCACCACTGCGTCCTCAGATATATTCGCGCATAGGCGACAGAATAGAGAGGGCAGCAACACCTCCATCAGCACCTGCGTGTACCCAGTTATATCCGCGCTTGGGACGGCAGAAGAGAGGTCCGCGACACCTGCATGTCCACAGTTATTTCCGTGCCTAGGGCGGCAGAATAGAGAGGGCGGCGTCCGCGACACCTCCCTCCCTCCCTCAGCAACTGCGCGTCCTCAGTTATATCCGAGCATAGGGCGGCAGAATAGAGGTCCATGACACCTCACTTCATTTTCATAACCTGTCACTTTTGTTTTCACATTGGGGTTGAGGGCGGCGTGATCGTCCTCTGCCTAGAGCGGCAGT